GGACTCCAGGATCATGACCCGAGCCGAAGGCAGTCGCTTAACCAACTGAGCCACCCAGGCTCCCTAGTCTTTGCACTTTTAAGTTATCTGAATATTTTCATAACAACAAACGCTGAAGAGATTTTTTTTAAAAAGATCATGCGTGGGAGAATAGTAAAAGGATAAATATTAGTTTCTCTTTTTCGCAATAGCAAATGTAAGACGTGGGTGGAAGAGAAAATCCTCTCGGTGTTTTATTAAAAACACTCTCCCGGGACTTGTTCATTTAAGGAACCACCAAAATTGCCCTCAGAGCGTGGTATGTAGGGCACGGCCCACCAGGGATAGGGCTTCACAGTGCCGAAGAAAAAAAATCTCAAATCGGCAGCAAACTAAGCAAGATCGAATATCTGGGAAGGCTTTTTTTTTTTTTTTTTAAAGTAGGGAATTATTTTTGATCTATTAAAAAGAAAATCCCCGAGACGATAGCTGCAATTTTTGTGAAAAGAGAATTATCTGGGCTAGATAAACCTCACCCAAACGAAGGCGTTCTTCGCAGTAACTCCCTGAGAGCAGCGTTTGGAGAGACAGTAACTAGGTAATGAGACCTGGGAGTCGCCGCAGAGCCTGGGGTGCCACGGAGCGTAAAGACTCCCGCCCTGCGCTGCAGCTGCCGCCTCGGCGAGGGGGCAGACCCGGCCTTTTCGGGCGCGGTCACCCGGCCTGATTGCTCTCGCCCCCCCCCGCCCCCGGGCTAGCCCGCAGGGGCCCGACACAGCTAAGTCCCCTGCACCGCCGCTCCCTACTTCGGGCCCTCACCCCAAATTGCCGGCGCGTCAAGCTAACAAGTTTGGCGTCCCCTGACCGGAGGACCTGGGCACCCGCGAATAATGCGAAATTGCGCGCGGTTCCAGGCTCTGTAGCAGGCCTTTATAATCTCTCGCTTAATATAATTCATTCATACTGCTTACCAAAAACGGGGACGACGGGAAGGAAAAAGTGCTAATGTATGTATGGCCTTTCCAGCCAGTACTTTTATAGAGTTTTGATGGCTTCCCTTTCAATCTTTTATATAGGTAGATGTTTTAAAAAACACGCTACTGGGATACCAGAGATAGTCTTCAAAGCGAATTTTTCACTTTACATCATTATTGAGCACTTTCTCATGTCATCAAACAGCCTAACAAGATACTGCCGATAAAAGTCCTCCAGAGGAATGCATGACCCGTGTTCTTTAAGCAGTTCATCGTTGTTGGCACTTGGGTAGTTTTCCAGTTCGGGCCGACAGAAACAAACTGCTCAGTCGGATTTTGCCAAACGCCCCTCTCCCGCCACCAGCGCACAAGGCAGTGCCAGAGGAAAGGGTCACGCTTCCTGGGACCGTAGTGTCGGGGCCTGGCGTGCGCCTCCTTCCGGGCTCTGTGACGTCATCCGTCAGCCCCGCCCCCGCGGGCAGAGCCAATCGAAACCCGGGGCAGGTCCCTCCAGAAGCAAGCGCGCGGGCGCGCGGCCCCGGGGACACGGCGCGATGGACCCGGTCCTTCTGGGCGCCCAGGCTCAGCTCCACCCGCAGCCGCCCGAGGGGTGGCGGCCCGTGAGCTCCGAGGAGGAGCTCTACGAGTGCCTGGATTACTACTACCTGCGCGACTTCCCGGCCTGCGGGGCCGGGCGCAGCAAGGGTCGGACGCGGCGCGAGCGGGAACGGCGCACCAACTGGCCAGTGCCCGGCGGCCACGAGCGCAAGATCGCGCAGAAGCTCCTCAACGGCCAGCGCAAGCGGCGCCAGCGCCAGCTGCAGCCCCGGGCGCGCACTCGGCTCGTCTGAGCGCAGGTGCGTGCGGGCTGCAACCGGCCGGAACGCTGGGAAGCCCCGCCAGCACCCTGGCCGCCCGGGCGCCTCTCGCCTCGGCCCTCTGCGACTGCACGCGGGCAGTGTCGCCCCCTTCCGAGGCTGCTCCGCGTTGGCGAGTCATAGCTGGACCCCCTAAACGCCCAGCTTATCTCTGGGCTGCAGTCAGAATAGTGTGAAACCCTACCTTTTGTATTTTGTAGCTGGGAGAAGAGGCTAGGAAATGCAGAAAACATCTTTTTAAAAAAATATATAAGTAAAGAATTTACTTCCAGTGCCTATGCATGGGCTAAAGAGAATAATTTATTTTTTTGTCAGTTTTCTGCAGGATACCCGAAGGTCCTGATAAAAGTATTATCTCTGACTCCAGCTGTAACTGGTCGTAAGGGGGAGAATCCATGTTGGTCAACATAGCTTCTTTTCGACATCGCTTAAGTTTACCGCCTCAGTATCTTTTCCTTACTGTTTGTTATTAACATCCAAGTGTCCAAGTGGGTATGCCTTTTTAGGGTTTTTAATTAAAAGCAGTAAGAACGGCATTTTAACTCTTCTGGTGGTTTGTTTTTTTTTTTTCCAGTTGCTACGGTAACTCGTTTCAAGTCCGCAAATGAACAAATAAGTTCGTCTTATGTGTAAACAAGATGAATGGGGGGAACAAAGATAGGAATCTGTACAAGATTTTATAGATGGGGTGTGCAAGTTTAATATTTGCCAAAATAGGAATATTTTCTGTTGTAATAGTGTATATCGAACATTTGCTAGGTTCTCTGCAATGTTGATCTCACAACAAGCCTTTCAGGTGGGCGCTGCTATCTCCCATTTTATAGAGGGGGTTCTGAGGCAAAGGAGTTCAGGTCACTTTTCAGAAGTCATACAGCTGGTTACAAAGAAGACCAGGTATAGCAGATACTCGAAAGCATTCCCTCCTTCCAGCATCACAGTTTTCCTCTATCATATGCAATATTCTGTTCAGAACCACCCACAAACTCCACGTCCAAAGACAAGGGTTGAGTTGTGGCTTAAAAATTATACCCACAGGGGCGCCTGGGTGGCTCAGTTGGTTAAGCGACTGCCTTCGGCTCAGGTCATGATCCTGGAGTCCTGGGATCGAGTCCCGCATCGGGCTCCCTGCTCAGCAGGGAGTCTGCTTCTCCCTCTGACCCTCTTCCCTCTCGTGCTCTCTATCTCTAATTCTCTCAAATAAATAAATAAAATCTTTAAAAAAAAAAAATTATACCCACAATGTCAGTGTCATGGTGACTGTCCTTTCTCTAGCCTGCATTCCATTAGGCCTCTCAGTGGTGTGTCCTAAGAAGAGAAGAGTGCTGTGTACTGGAAGGAGCAACCTGAATTTTAATCCTCACTCTATTCATCGCTGTGGCTTTCGGCACACTTCTGAGGTAACAACTTTCAAGTTACACCAAGCTTCTGGTTTCTCATTTGTAAAATGGGAATGATACTGGATTACTGTACCAAACTATGGATTATAGATTAAATATATAAATCACCTCAACACAGTTAAGGGCCTGGCACATGGCACATTAAGAGGTAATCAATAGCAACTATTTTTAAGTTTACAGAACACAATCCCTTCTTCCTCTCTAGTCAAACTGTTATATTCTTCATTTACTTTACGTGCTATAGTAGGAGTCCTGGCTTTGAGGAGTCAAACACCTTGTATGAACTTGGGCAAGGTGCTTAAACTCTTAAGTTATCTGTTCCCTTATTTATAAAATGGGTATAATACTGTACCTATTTCAAGAGTTCTTGTGAGGTGTAAATAAAATAATACATGTAGGGACGCCTGGGTGGGTCAGTCTTTGGGCGTCTGCCTTCGGCTCAGGTCATGATCCCAGAGTCCTGGGATCGAGCCCCGCTTTGGGCTCCCTGCTCAGTGAGGAGCCTACTTCTCTCTCTCCCTCTGCTGCTCCCCCCTGCTTGTGCTCTCTCTCTCTGACAAATAAATAAAAATCTTAAAAAATAAAAATAATACATGTAAAGCTCTTAGTACCTGGTATATAATAGGCCCTCACATGATTAGTATATGTGCTGCTGAAGCAAAGCACAGCACTTACATCGTTAGTAATGTTCCCATTGCCACTGTCTTGGCCTTCAGGATTTTTCCTTACTCCTCTCCTGCTGTGTTTCAGAGATACCATGTCCAGATTAATCTTCCTGAAGACCATTTTAAACAAAAAAAACCCTCAAGGACTGCTCTAACCCTGTAGGTTAAAAAGCCTAGATTCCGGGCGCCTGGGTGGCTCAGTTGGTTAAGCGACTGCCTTCGGCTCAGGTCATGATCCCGGAGTCCTGGGATCGAGTCCCACATCGGGAGCCTGCTTCTCCCTCTGACCTTCTCCCCTCTCATGCTGTTTCTCTCTCTCTCTCTCAAATAAATAAATAAAATCTTTAAAAAAAAAAAAAAAAAAAGCCTAGATTCCTTACATTGTGTTGGAAATCATCTATTAGATTTTCTTCAAGTTTGTACCACAACTTCCAAAAACACACTCGGTACTTGACACAGATCTTCTGTCCTGTCCTCACCATATTCGATTCTGCTTCTTCATGTGAATCTGTGCTGTCCTACTTAGCATGCCCTTTTCCCCTTTATCATTTTAATCTTTCTAAAATAAATTCCACCTGTACTTATTTTAAGTGCCACTTTCTCTCCGAATCTTTCACCCACAGTGAATATCCATCCCTTTTTGAAATCCATAGAACTTCATTTAAACACCACCTAACCACTTGTGTATATAGTATTTTGTATTTATTTTTTATTTTTATTTTTTAAAAGATTTTATTTATTTGACAGAGCACAAGCAGAGGGAGAGGGAGAAGCAGGCTGCCCACTGAGCAGGGAGCCCGATGCGGGACTCGATCCCAGGACCCTGAGATCATGACCTGAGCCGAAGGCAGCCACTTAACAGACTGAGCCACCCAGGCATCCCATATTTTGTATTTTTAGATCAACAGTTAAAAATTCATTCATTGGTTCATTCTTTTTTGTCTGGTATGTGCAAGGCACCGCATTCACATAAGTATGTCTTAGTTATCCAATGGAAAAAATTTGATTTAGAGTGTAAGGATCTTAGTGGAAAGACCTTAGGGCTAATGTCAGTTGGTACACAATTCCCAATTCATCACAATCCCAGACAGACATAAGCCATGTTAAAGCAACACTCTAGGTGTTCTAACGAGATTTTGCTCACCTTAGATATAAAACTTTTATAGTTTAAATATAGTAACTGTAGAAATTGTGTATTAGTTACCTATTGCTGTGTAATAAATTACTCCAAAACCTAGTGGCTTACAGCAACAGATACTTAGTTTCTTGAGGTAAAGAATTCAGAAGTGGCTAACAGGGTGGTTTTAGCTTAGGGTCATGATGTTGGAGAGGAATTAGGCTCCACTTTTTGAAAGAAGTGTCAAAGAATCTGTGGACCTATTTTAAACCACTATGGTATGTTTAATTACTAAAAGTATGTTCATTTTAGACAAATTGGAAAATATGAACAAGCAAAAACAAAAAAAAGGAAGCAATCACTATCCAGTCGTTAACATCACTACTTAAGTGTACATAATTCAAGTCTTTAAAATATGTGTGAACTTTCTCAGAATATAAACATACTATGTATACCTACTCTTTCACTTAATATATTGTGAAGATACTTTCATGTCAGGTATTCTTTCATAATACTTTAAATGGCTGCATAACATTTCATCATGTGTATGAATCATAACTTATATAATTCTATATTGTAGGACACTTTGACTTTCCCTATTTTATACAACTTGTTAAATGAACATCTTTATAGCTAATTTCTTTACACATTCATGACTGTTTCTTAAATTCCTAGATGTGGAATTTCTGGAACAGGTTAGCACAATTTTAAAACTTCTGGTACCTACCACCTGACTAGAATTTTATTGCAATCATCAGGGGTCCACTCATCCAAATGTTGGTATCACATATATGTAACAATTCCTCCAAGAGTTATTTGTTCAAATTTTGATTACTATGTGAATTTGTTTTTTTTTTTTAAGGTTTTATTTATTTACTTGACAGAGAGAGAGAAAGAGCACACAAGCAGGGGGAGCAGCACACTCCCCACTGGGCAGGGAGCCCAATGCGGGGCTCGATCCCAGGACCCTGAGATCATGACCTGAGCCGAAGGCAGATGGTTAACCAACTGAGCCACCCAGGCACCCCTATATGTGAATTTGTTGAGAATGATTGAAATCACTATGGAATGAGAAGTTGTTACATAAATTTTACTAAAGAGTGATCTTCAGCAGCCTATCTCGCCTGGGGGAAGCCATGGCCACAAGTTAGAGCCACATAGCCATTGGGTCCCCTTAGAACACAGTCATATAATTCCGGGTCCCTTTAACTGCAGTCAAGATACCAAGGACTATTCAGTTTTGGAGGGCCATATTTTGAATTTGTGTAATAAAAGACTGTCCGTTGTCACTTTTAGGGACCAAGGGAGTCCAAATCTAGGGACAATTTCTCTTAGCAAAGTTTTTGCTACCTCCATGGCTTTTTTACCCAACTCGGGAGCCTGGTGTAAACCCTGTATTACCTTCCACTGGTTATTTTTGGGTATAAAGATTTTTCCCTCATTATTAACAAGCCAGTCCTGTGCATTTCTTGGTCTGGATAGACTGGACTTATGGACTTTATTGGAGTTAAGACTGGTAAAAGACTTAATGTTTGTTTTGTGCTGCCCGCTTGGCTGCACGGTCTAGTGAATTGTTTCCTTTAGATTCTAAGGTCATATTCTTTGCTGTCCTTTGAGGTGAATTACAGCTACCTCCTTGGGAAGGTTTACAGCCTTAAGAGTAATAATTTCAGACCCATATTTGATTGGGGTGTTACGGCTTGATAATAATCCCCCTTTCTTCCAAATTGCTCCGTGGGGGACGCCTGGGTGGCTCAGTCGGTTAAGCGTCTGCCTTCGGCTCCGGTCACGATCCCAGAGTTCTGGTATCATCCCTCATGGGGCTCCTTGCTCAGCGGGGAGCCTGCTTCTCCTTCTGCCCAGCGCTCCCCCTGCTTTGTGTGCTCTCTTGTGATCTCTCTCTCACAAATAAACAAATAAAATCTTTATTAAAAAATTGCTCTGTGAGCACGTAGGACTAGGAAGGCATATTTGGAGTCAGTGTAAATATTAATTGTTAAGGCTTTGGCAATTGCAAGCATGAGTGAGCACCATAGCATACCCAGCTTTTCTTATTCCCTTTTCCTTGAAACTATTGCCATCAGTAAACCAACTGTCATCAGCATTTTCAATAGGGGAATCTTCTAAATCTGTTTGACTAGAATAAATAAGATCAATAACCTCTGAACAGTTATGCTCTATAGAAGTATGATGGCCAGGTCCAGGCATAAGGGTAACTGGGTTTAAAGTCTGACAGGTGTCAAGTATTATTTAAGGCATATCTATAAGCATAACCTGGTATTTAATAAGTCGGCCTCCCGTCATCTATTGGTGGCCTTTGGTCTCTAAGACACTCTGGGCCTGA